ATATTACCATTCTCCAGACTTCCTGTTTCTTAAGCTTGCATGGCTACTTTATTATTGTTTAAATGAAGAAACTGGCTGAAACGCACAATTAACCTCTTAGCTCCCAAATGGGAGCCAACTAATGTTTTCTATGATTGCAACAAAAATCAGGAAATCATGTTAAATATGGCCTTAGCTATACACCTATAGGCAAAATTGGTTCCCAGTCTTACTGTAAGTGACACAGCAGTTAGGAACCAATTATAGCTTCAGGGTGCATGTGCAAAATTACAGAGGACATCCGTTGTGCATGCATTTATATGAGAACCATATCACTGGCCAGCTGCAGTAGTGTATAGCCACTTTTGAAGCTGAGGTATGATTATTTTTACTATCTGTAAGATGAAAAGATTTGGGAAAATTGCTCTATTTTGAAGAACATGTAACGTGGATTTACATGATTTAATAATTTAAAAACTTTAGTAATTTAAAAGAAGCTGCCTGTGCATGCCTGTGACACTTCTAGATCAGGGGTTTTAGCTAACACTTGTGTAGATTGGGAAGTATTATACCTTTCTGTCCCATTTTAACATTCATTAGGTGTTTTAGTTTAGGTTAACGAAAAAGGTGTACTGTAATCACAATAAATCCTTAGATGAACCTCTAACAAATGAGTTTTAAAATTTGTGTTATTTATTGCAGAAGATAAAGCATCCTAGCACAGTGGGGTCAACTACATTTGAACTCTTTGTAAGCTAATGTATTAGATGAGTACAGAGTTCCCTCTGCTGTGATACAGTACTTTGTCTTATGGATTTATTGTAGAACACAATTTCCATTGCTCCACTTTTCTACTATTGGCTCTATGCCAGTCCAGTATTATGTTCTTGCTGAGGCTGGTTTATATATGTCCCTATTTAAAGGACCACCAGTATGGATTTATATGTATTTTTCATGGATATATTTTTTTTCTCCTCAAAATTAGTTTATTAAAGGAGAACTATGACATGAGTGATTTCCACTCACCTCATAGTTCTAAGCCGACCTGTGACAATGAGACTGTCACAGGTCGGCTCAGTAGATCGGGAGGTGAGAGAACACATACCGGGTTCCCTCACCTCTCGATCCTGTCACGGCTCTCTGCCGTGACAGGGGGAGGGGCTGGATTCCCCTCTCCCCGCTCCGATCTGCCAGCGCTGACTGGCGGAACGGACGGGGGAGGGGGCGGGTACAGCTGGCTCTGCCTCTAGATAGACAGAGCCAGCTGTCACTGACGCAGCTGGGCGGATCCCGTCATTTAAGTCGGGATCCGCTCCAGGTGCGGCGTCTCAGTATACCGCGAGCTGTAGCTCGCGGTATACTGAGCTTAGGGTGACGGGAAGACGCTAGTTTGTGTCCTCCTGTTACCCCAAGGAGAACTATGGGGAAAAACACTGACCCCATAGTTCTCCTTTAATTATTAGTTGAGAATAGTTCATAATAAATGGAGACAACAGTGAAGTGAATCATTTACAAAGTGCATAAATATAAAATATATAAATGTTTAAAACATCCACCCTTATATATATGTTCAAAAATAACTTCAGATATTGTGCACTATGCCAATTGTACAAATGTATGTGGTTAAATGACTAGAAATATCATGCAACATGCACTATATATAAACTTGTAAATACTAATAATACTAATACTGTCCATACACAAATATGTAAGTTAGAAGGCTAATTATAATTATCCTGAATTTTTTGGCGTGGCCAGCTCCCTTCGTAATCCCCACTTTGCTTCCAGTAAATTGTGTTTCCAAGGGATCGCTGCAGCTCACCTACCTTCCCCCCACCTATAATTATTGGGTTTGGATTCCGGTCAGGAGTGCGATGGGTTATGAACATATGAAGAGTAAGGTCACAAAGCACTTGGTTAAATGTTGACCATCATTAGTATCAAAAGAATATAAATCCTCCCATAGTGTAATTTGATTTGTGTAATTCAAATAAAATATAAGGCTTATTAAAAAACATAAACTATATAACTCACACATCGCTGGTGCTTCACTGCACCAAGCTATAGGCAGCTCAAACCTCTGTAGCACTCAAAACACTCAAACACTGAGAGATGTGACCAGGCAGCGTGACAATGTCACAAATCCCACCCACTCAATGCATTTCATCATTATGACTTTCCTAGGCTACTCCTGAGGAAGTCATATTGGCGAAACGTGTTGAGAGAGGAGGGAATCACTGTGTTGCTTCTCTATCCATTTACAGGCTGGGGCAGGTTCAGGAAGACCTGGGCTTAGATGAAGTTGGTGGTATGATCCAGGTCATCAGAAGGAGGACATCTATTTGCAGGCAAAAAAGTATTGTGGGGTAAATTTCTGTATTGAAGCTCGATATTGCAGAAAATGCTGATTTTGTTCATCTTTTAATGGGCAATACATTGTTGACTGGAATTCTGCTTTAACCACTTAAATACCATGGTGTTTACGCCCTTCGTGGCCAGACCATTTTTCAGTGTTCAGCTCTGCCGTACTTTGACTGACATTTATTTCGTCATGCAACGCTGTACTGATAGAGCTTTCTTTTGGTGGTATTTAATCACCACTGGGGTTTTTATTTTTTACTATATAACAAAACGGAATTTGAAAAAAAAACAGTTTTCCCTAAGTTATGTTATAAAACATTTGTTATTACCTAATTTTTTGGTCAAAATTAAAATACGGGGTCACGTCGGGTAAATAGACACCAAGCATGTCAAGCTTTAAAATTGTGCGCAGCCGCGAAATTGCAGAAAATGACCACACCCAAAATTGGCCATAGGCGACGCTTTAAAAGCCTTTACTGCTCCACCGAATTATTGCTCTCTTTCCGACGTTTGCGGCGAAATGCAACGTGGGGCGTAATGGGCGGAATCATCGTTTTTGCATGATGTTGCACCCTACTCATGTTTGTGTGTGTATGTGGGGGAGTTACTTTAAAAATGTTTGTGTTATTTTACTTTTTTTTTATTTGAGACTATTTTTTAGCTTCTTTATTTTATTTTTTAAAACTTTTTTTACACATAACTTTATTGCTATCACATAGGGGGCTAAGAAATCCCCTACGCCATAGTCAATTCCCATGACAGGTCCTCTTTATGGAGACATCAGGGGTCTCCAAGACCCCTGATGTCACCTAGGGACCCCCAGAGAAGCTGATGAAGCAGAGATCTGCCTCATCCGCTTCTCTCCGGCATCTGTAACCGGAGAGTGACACTGAAGGCTGAGCACCACACACAAGAGGGGGGGAGGGCAGGATGTCTTAAGACGCCCTCCCGCTCCTGTAAGTCTCCCGTCCGGCCTTTCCCCAATGGCCATGGACGGGAGGTGGTTAAACCTGAAAATATAAAGTTTAGCTGTCCTTTAATGGTGCCCATAACTGAACTTAAATTAATCATGTCTTTTTATTAATTAATTTTATTAATCACTCTTTTTATTCTTTCTTCTGAGTTTCTTAAGAATTATTAAAAAAAGCACCAACCAAAGGAATTTTTAAGCTACATGCTTACTTTATCACTCTGAGCAAGAAACCTATTCAAAATCAGTCCTGAATACAAAGGGAAAAATCAGGATACATCAGCAGTTTGTTATAGAAGGCAAGCTTTAAATTATTTTTACTGAAAGACTTGAGTTATTTGGTAATGGTACTGGGAAATCTTTTCATCAATCAAATTTAGATTCTCCCCAGTTGTACAGCACCATGACTTTTATAAATAATCCCTCTTGTGCTTTGAAATCAGTTCTTTTGCCTTGGTTTGTTCAAGTTGAATTTAAAAGCACGGGCATGTCGGAAATTGACTATTCAAACAGCAATTTCCCTGGGCAAGAGCCAGTGCAGTCCAGGCTGTTTAATTCCACATCTGAGACTAATGCTGTGTGAGAGATTGTTGACTCAACAGGTTAGTATGGAAACAAGAAACAATGTATTTCTAGATTATTAACGTAAAACCTCAGGTTGTCATAGAATAGTGCTTTGCAAACAATTTGTGAACTGCAATTTTTTTTCCTAAAAATATCAGAAGCACAAATGTTAAGTGATTATACAGTATATCATGTTAAATGATATACTGTACTGTTATATATATATATATATATAGGTATTGCACAATTGGTGGCTGACTAAATACTTTTTTGCCCCACTGTATATACAGTCCCTTAAATAAAACATTTTCAGTCCTGATCCTGTAGACATACAGGGGGTGCTATAGTTTAAACCTAAAATATTAACAGCCATACAGTTTAATGGAAATTTGTACTTTGGAAACTAACAAAATGCTCAATATAACTAGCACCAGAGATTCCTGCACATTGGAGAGGTTTGCAGTAATGCTGTAGGTATGTTCTTGTACATTATGAAGGAAGCATCACTTTTAGTTTTTTAGGCTTTTCTCAATCACAGGTATACCTTATAGCTTGCTACGTGCTTAAAATGAATGGGGAATTTGCATGCAGTGGATGTAAAGCTTGTAATTATTGTTCAGCATCACACGGAAATTTTCCTTTAATGCCGTTTAATGAATGAAGTTCTAATTAGCAATGCTGAATAATAACTACAGTGGGAATACTACTCAGTTTATCGGAATTTGATGTATCAGATCCTTTGTGTGCTGATTGGGTAATTTATAGGCTAGGACACAGAAAACAATAGTGGGAAATTCCCCTTTGGTAAAACACATGGACGCTGTTTAATGAAAGCTAAAGTAAGTAAAACTGGCATACAAATGGAAGTGTTGATAATAAAAGCCAGTTTCTTTGTTTTATTTGAAAGATGAAACTTGACAGGTCAAGATGTGCAACTGCTCTATTTTTTGTGTCTGAATTCTCATGAATTAACTCCTTAATCGGACAGGTTGGAAACTGTCAATCATTTCCCCCTGTGCCTCTGTAGTGAGTATAGTGAAATGCATGGTAATATTGTGTATAAGACATGGAAAAACACATCTGCAAGTGTAATATTTTTATTGTTTTCATTTAATGTCTTCCACAGGGGAAACACAAACTGCATGTGGCAACAGGAAGAGAAGAGAAATGGTGCGGCCTTATTCCTGTAGGAGCTCCATGTCATGTCGTGACTACAACTGGTTTAAAGTGGAATCTCTGTGAGTAAGCTTGGAATTTTATTTCCTATTACGGTACCTCATTTGGAAGGGCTGTTCCACTTTGGAAGCAAATGTATCCCTCTTTTCTCCTCAGTGAAAATGTTCGATTTAACTATCAAACGTGTTATTATCCACTAAAACCTTCATCCTATTTCGTAATTATCTTGTTTGCTGTTTTGAAAAGCCAGTATAAAGGAAAAATAATGGTGGAAAACAATAATTCTGGGTTTGAATAATTTTTTGCATATATCTTCTTAATGGTCTGCATAACTGGGTGCGTGGCAGGGGGGTGTTCAATGCCCAAATACATTGTGCTAGAAGGTGTACCTCGTTCTCATCTCAGAAAGTTGGGAGGTATGCTATTGTCTAAATATAATTTCAACAAAATAAATCATAATTAGTGATGTAAAGATACCAGTGCCAATACTTGGCATTTTCACGAGAACTCCCAGGGTTTCAGCTATTGCAGCTGGGACCAGGCTCTGGCGCTCCACCACTGTCCTGAAATCATTGGTCTGTATTGTTTTAGAAAAACTGTCACATGACAATAAACAAAAATGTATACGTACTTGTATCTGTGAGTACTGAGTGAGGTTGACAAGTATCAGTACTTGTACTTGAAAAAATCGTATTGGTGCATCCCTTATATATATCTGTAAAAAAAAAATCATACATTAAAACAGGAATGCACAAATCCCAGGAGCTCCGTGTGCTCCTTAAAAATGACAGCTGCCGCCTAACTTTTGGATTTTTCTCTAGTCTAGTCTTGGAGCTGGAAATGAATCTGTACATGTACTTTTACCAAGTATGGTACTTGGTATCTGAACATCCCTAATCATAATGTTGCTTTGAGGTAGCAACAGGGATCACAATAGCAGCTACATGAACTATAGGGTAGCACATTCACGTCTATACTTTTTGGTAACACGTGTTACTATGGTCGATGAAAGCTCAAATGTTGGTGTCACACTGCCTGGATGGATTCTTCATGATTTTGGATTAACAAATAACGTCCATCTAGGACCTTACTCCGTCCCTCGCGTTGCAGTGGTCAGACCTGGCAAATGGCTGGTAAGGGTAAGGGACAGTGGGAGGAAGGTGAGGGGCCTTATCATGAGTACCTGTCAATGTGCTCTAACTGGGTAAAAGGATAGGTTTGCTTTAGGTATGAAGAACAGACTGTGCCAAATGTATGTAGAGGATTTTAACACTGTTATTGTCACTTTTAATATATTCAGATATCTTAAAGCATAGCAACACAGGTAGCCTTCTGTACGCAACATGACCCAAGACATGTGATTTCCAGCAGTTTTCTCTTCATACAACACTGAGTCTGTGATGTGATTACAGCAGTCAGACCTTCCCCCTTAGCATGCAGGCAGTAGGAAGTGATTGAAATGCAGGTGTCACATCAGCAGCACAGCAGTAGGTAAACCTCTACATGTTTGTTGTTTGCTACAAGCCTTGCAATATATGTAATTGACCTGGAATGTTTGTTTGTTTTTTCTCAAAAGTGCAGTCAGTTTACTTTATACAGTAATATTTAGTGCAATGGCAGGCACTAAACAATCCTTTGCACTGTTAGACTTTGAAAAGGCGAATGGTTCACGTGTTAATATTTAAACATGTTTTTATTTCCAAATAATGTCTTATTATCATGTTAGCTTAAATAAAGTAGAGCCTCTCTAACTTATTTGACATCTTCCTGAATTGTTATATATGCATCCCTAGCTGAACCATGATATAGTGTTTTAGTTTTCTATCACATTGTGCGGCAGGGTGTCAGGTGGATGCTGAGTGTTAACACTAGACGGTAAGGGGGATCCATTAATGAGCCCTTTCTATAAAAAGTGAGGTCAGATGGGAGTCCAGTGCAGTTGTGAAAGCAGCATGTAGCCATAATGCCCTTGGACCAATGCTATACTTCTCTTGTTAAAGCCAAGAAATATATTTTTATTTCTTTAACATGATTTTCTCTTTGCAAAATATGTGCATGCTTATTTCCTAAGAGTGTGTACACAATATGATACCAGGCTGAGTTACGTTTTTTATATAATATCCTTTTCACTACATAAAGTTTTTGGACTATTGGGTATTTATTGGTACAGTGTTATGTATCATGAAGCTATTGGTGTTCTTCTAGTATATGACTTGATATTACTTCCTGGATATGAAACTGGGGACTTGCACCTGATCCCTAATTACCTTCTATACCAGTTTTATTGAATTTCTTTCTCTCAGGTCTAGTTCAAATATCCAAAGCTTGGAGCCAAATGTAATGACAAAAACAGCTTCTATGTTTCCCATTTGTCTTAAAAGGAAACTAGATTCTTGCTAATGATTTTTGTTAGATATGCAGTACGTGAAAGTAAAGGTGATGAGATTATTAGTCTAATCAGTATGTGTTATTGACCATTTACATATGTACAGTTGTTGTTTTTTTTTACAATACAAAAGTAACAAAACTAACATACTGTATTTTTTATATTGTTAAATTGAATGAAGCCATATCAACATAAAAGATTAATTATATCATATCCCTGTCTTCGTCTGTCCAGATCTGTCCCATGTGAGTCTATGGGGTCTATTCACGAAGCTGCCAAAGGATCTGGCCGTAGCTTCGGCTAGCTTCGGCCCCAGGACCCCTTTGGTTCAGTAGAACCGAAGGGGTGCTGTACGGGCTATTCACAATAGCCCGTACAGATACTAGATACTTGTGCATGACCAATTATTGCTCTGTAAAAAGTCTCAAGAAAACGGCAGTAAATATTATGTGTTTCTTGCAGTTAACAAGAAGTTGAGCTATTTACTCATGATAGGTGATTTACAATGCTCAGATGCTCCAGGAAAGGCAAGGAATGTATGAAATCTGAGCCCAAATCTAAAACCAGGCAATTTGACAGTGGAGGTGCAGGTGGGAGTGCTGCAGTAGATACTTACAAAACCAAATAGGTAGCTATGATAACAACCAGTTAGGCCGATTTTTCATGTTTAATGCTCTCTTAAATTATGGCCCCCCACATTAATCATTACACTCCTTCTTGTTAATCCTCCACTTAGATTTAAGGAAAAAAAACTTGCCTATTGGGCCCCAATATTCACCTAAATCTGTAATCATGTGAAGTGCCAAGTCCCAAGCCTTCTATCTTCTAAACTTTAGAGTGGGAGAGTGTTTCTTCAGGTGCCCAAGTCACTACACAGTGGCTTGGATATTTCCTGTTGTGTTTTGATAGGTGGAGTGCTCACAGGTCCTAAACATTCTAGCAAAACAACTGACCAGTGAGAGGCCGAGACTGCAGTGGTCTTTTCTCCTGAGAGAGAAGTCCCAGAGAATTTGGCAGACTCAAGTGAGGATTGGCTTCAATGCCAGTCACCCAACCCCTCACTCCTTGTTTAATAGGAGAGAGCTTTACTGTGGCTGATCCAGTCAGCTCTTAGTGGTCTAATCGAGAAGCTCCACATATAAAGATTATCTTGCCAGGTCAACATGTCAAGAACACATATTTGCATTAATATATAACAATATATATAATAACAAATATATATATTACACCTCATAGCTGCAGTCAAGGACACAGTTGAATTGTAATGCAGTGGGTACTCATGAACTCTTAGACTGCCCAGTACTGTCTGGCTTCACAACAAATGATTGGGAAATTATTTTGTGGCATACACTTTGCTATGTACATATAAAGTTACAGCAAGCTGTCAATAATCAGAGTGTTAGAGATGAACTCCTAGACAGAACTGAGGGACTATCGAAACAGAGTTTATAACCTGTAAAATAAAATGTGAGAAAACAATTATTTCCCCTACACTGCCCCCTCCTTTCTTTTGAAGCTGAACTCTAGAACATCAGGTAAATACAAAGCAGAAATGTACTACAAGATCCCTGAGAACATTTTGTTTGCAGAGGGGAAGGATATATACACACTGATAACAGGGGGAGCGCTGTCAGGAGAGGGGCCGGGTTTACCTTTTGGCTTTAACCAAAGTTGCATTAGATTTGCAGGGTGTAATAAAATACATAAGTATCAGATGGAGAAAATTGAATCACTGTTACATTCCAACTGGATATTTAATTATCTCTTTTCTTTTAATCCGAGTACATTTCCACGTTATGCCTTACTGTAAAACAATATAATCCTTATGGACAGCAAATTCAGACGTGGTGCTTTGCCTACAAATTCTGAAACATCTGTAATCTTTTTTTAGACATTTACTCATCCTTCACTGTGTTTCTTTTTCCTGCATATTACCATCATATGGGCAGACTACAATATATGCAGTGCACTTTAACTTTTTAGATCTATAGTGTGGGAAGGACTTGCCTCCTTGAGTCATATATCTTTCTGCACCTTATAAGCATTTACATGGTACCAGTACCCAGGTAGGTGAATTAATTAATGTATATTGGAGTGCACGGTATGGTTGGCCAACAATGTTGTCGGTAGCCTTTTATTATGTCTCCATAGGATGCTTTTTGGATAAGCAGTGTCCAGTTGAACTTCTGATTTGTCAATCTTTCTTATTTTTGTCTTATTAAGTACCCTGTGTAACACCATAATTACCGGTTGTTCCTGCCAGTAGATCCATTATTTTTCCACTTCCTTTAATAAGGAAGCACTGTTCGTTCTGCATTCAAATTGCGTAGCAGCTGGAAACTAAGTTTCAAATGGATTTTAAGTAAAATACAAACAAAATTAAAACCTAACTCCAGCTAACACTTTTTAGGCAGTTGCCGCAACAGATTTTTACCAGGTTTAAACCATTGTAACCGTTGTAAGTACTGGAACAGTGATATAGTTTGTCACAATTTCTCTGACTGCAAATATTGCTGCACAGCTTGCCCTGGTAAAGTAAGTCAAAAAATGACAGATCTATGTCATTTTTTATTTTGCCCGTAGTTCCACTTTACTTATTCTGAAAAATGTGAAATGTTTAGAGCTGAACTGCCCTTTGTATTGAAACCTCGTGCTTTTAAAAGATGAGTGCCATTT